CAGCAGGAGTGTGGGGTGCACATGTGTGCCACGTGTGCTCATGCAGCAATCATTCCCATCCCAGAATGGAATCACAGAATCATAGAAAGGTTTGGGTTGGGAAGGACATTAAACCTAATTCCATAACCTAGGACATAACCTAATTCCAACCCCACCGCCACAGGCAGGGATGCCATCCACTAGACCAGGTTGCTCAGGATCCCATCCAACTTGGCCTTGAACACTTCCAGGCATAAGGCACCCACAGCTTCAAATTTTCAAACATCGACCAAATCCTCTGGAACAATTTTTCCCAATAGCTCCACTCATCTTCTAGACAGTAAGTTCCAACCCCCTCCTCCCCAGGACCCCCATTTATTCCCCACAGGGCATGAGTAACTCCCTGGAAAGTCTGGCCAGAGATGAGAAGCAGAAGACAGATGCACCTCCACTGCAGTGCTGCTTCGGTTACACCCAACGTGCATCTCACTGCAATAATTTACTCCTTTTTTCCACTAATTTATAATCCTCAGGACTGGATTTATTACTTCCCAAATTAGCTTTAAACAGTATATCTAAGGATCATGAAGCTTTTTGAATGTGACAATGGACCTGACAGATCTAATGAGACACTTTAGTTCATGCAGGGAGTTTTCACCACTGTTATTCCCAAAAGTAAAACTGTTTCCATGAAATAGGCATTTCCTTTTCTTTTAACAGGAAAATTCAATTTCTCTTCCCTTTTTCTTAGCCGGTTCCTCCTCTATGCCTTCATTGCCACAAATTCCCTAATCTCGTTATTCTTGGGTGTTGGAAAAGCGTAATCATCTGAGCCATGAAATCGAAGACAACGGCATCACTTCCAGGGAGGTGACTTAAGTCGGAGGAATTAATTCTCCCAGCAGACAGCTCTTATTTAGAACAAATGTGATTTTCAGAACTGAAGCTCTTTTTTTAATGAGGCTCTGTGAAAATATATGTGGCCCAGAGCTGCTGGGAAATTCAGCATTGTGCCAGAGAAATGCATCAAGTCAAGAAAACAACAGCCAAGAGGATTGTTCAGTCAGTTCATCCTTCAGTTTCCTGCAGAGAAAGCCCGTCTGTGTATTTCTCACCCTCAGAGATTGCTGCCCCAAACAAGGGAATCTACAGCCATTTACTGAGTGTCAGAATCTGGCCCACCCAAAAGGTGTATTTTGAGGTTTAAGTAAGAAAAGAGAGGGTTTCCCTCTCTCTCCTTCAAACGAAGCCAGCACGTACAAGCAGGTGGGTCCCCACACAACACAGAGTTAAGGCATGGAAGTCCTTGCCCTGGGATGTTACAGATGTCGAGAGTTTTGGTTTTATTCTTCCCTGGGAAAAGCTGACACTCTCTTTTCAGCTCTATGCCTCCAATTCCTTTATTGCCTGTTGTCTTTCTCTTTATCCAGAGCAGGGACTGCCCTACTTGCACCTACATAGCAGAACAGCAAGGGCACGGATGGGACTGCTGGTCACCTCTGTGGTGTCAGACCATGTTCAGAGTGATTTCCAGGGATTTATGGCCATGCAAATGGGTTTATCTAGCAAGGATGCAGCAAAAAAATCTACCTTAGTTTTGGAGCAGGTTTGTGTTTTCAGATGAAGCATAAGATAAAGAAAAGCCACTTGTAGACCCTCACTCAGGGTGAAGCTGGGAGGGCAGCCTTGGAGATCTTTCCATGCTCTGCTGCCTGGGTTTACCACCCCAGTCAAACAGCTCTGCCAATCTCAGGTGCAGCTGTAACTATCAGACAAAGATTCTTTTTCTCCAGTGAACGTGATGGCCCTGGGAAAGGTTCCTACACCAGAAACCAACTCTGCCTGCTTCTTTGCACCACCAGCCATGGGGTGCAGGCAGCAGCGATGTGCCCACCCCTATGGAAGCTGCAGAAGCCAAACCCCTCGGGTTTGCCAGCAGCATATCCTTCCCACACAGAGAATCTGCCTCTGAATGGAGAGTGCACAGACCCAGAAACAGCAAAAGGGATAAAACACCAGACACTTGCCACGGGAGCAGGTCCTAATGACATCATCATGCTTGCCTGGCTCAGCTGGAGATAAAAAGATGAACCGCAGATAATACTGATTTCTCATGCCAAGATAACAACAGAGAAGGGTTTGTTTCCAAAGGAAGATTCTTTCCTGCCTGTGTGCCAGCAAAAGAAATAGTTTTTCTGTCAGATTTTATAACAAACTTCATCAAATATCCATCTGGCACCAGGCCAGAGGGCTATGTATGACTCTGTGTTCACTGTCACAGCAGATGGATGTGAGAAACTCCAGCAAAGGTTTCAGAAGGTTTCCCAGACTGTGATGGTTTTGGGAGGGTACACAGACCTCCAGAGGCATGGCTTATTAAAAGCACTCTTGCAGAGAAATCTGGCTTTTTGAATTTGACAGAAAACAGGGGGTCTGATAAGGAACTGTGGCCCCGAAGCTGCCTTTGAAGTTTGGTCCTGATGTGGAGACAGAGTTTAACAAGATCTTTTTTTAGGGGTGCCTGGAGGATTGAGTAATAGAGCAATTCTCAAGTGTTCGGATCGGAAATTTCATCTGCAACCCGGGAAGTTTATTCCTGGCAAAAGCCTCATGAGAACCAGTGTCTTCTCAGGACAGGCCAATTTCAAGAAATCAAAATTTCCAGATGAGTGTGGGCTCCCAAGAAAAACTCCTGGGGACTCTGCGTGGAAGGATGCCTTGAAAAACATCATCTGTCCTCCCAGGCCCTGACAGTCTCTGTGCTCTGAGAATTCAAAGCCATGTCAGTGTGTGCAGGTCCCACAGAGTGATTAGAAATAGCAGGAGATCTGCTGATGGAAACAGCAAAATCTCTTCTGTTCCAACTTTGTAAATGAGACTGAGCAAAGTGTCCAGCTGTCTCCTGCAGCCTGGTGGTCACTGTGAGCCTGGGTGAACAGCGGTCTCCTCCCTGCCGGTCAGCAGTGAGGGCAGCTGGGACAGCAGAAGCCCCCAGACTGCATGGAGCAGGTCTCAAAGATCTTTCATTTGATTTTAAAATTTTAAAAAAATCAAGCTCCCAGATTCTATAGGAAGTGAGTGAGAGCAAATTGTGTAAGGCAACACCAGGGAGATGCTCCATCTCCTTAATCCATTTAGAGGGCTGTGCTGCTGCAGAGGATGAACATCTGCTGTGGCTTCACATCACCCTGGGGACATGGCCAGGGTATTGCTCTGAGGCCACCTCAAAAGAGGAGCTCTTTGGGGTAATCAGTCTGAAAGCCAGGAGTTTTAAACAAATATACAAACCTTTACTGGAGCCTGTTGTAGTGGGGCTGCCAGCGGTGTCTGGGGGTCTCTTCCCTGGATTCTGAAAGCTCAGCTGAGCTGACAGCATCTGACAGTGGGAGAAAACCAGCTTTTCAACCTCTAAGTTGAGCACATTTGCTATGGACTCACTGGAGACTAAAGACATAAAAGTTCTTTTTTTTTTTTTTTTTTTTTTTTATCAGAGGGACTTTGCAAATGGAAATTTCACATTTTCATGGACGTTTTTGCTCTTTCATGGACTTTTTTTTTCCCTCTTCCAGGATTTATCCAGGGAAAAATGCCCAATTTCTTGCACAAGACAGACCTGGAAGGTTTGTACTTTGCTGTAAACTTGTGAGTCCTGCAAAACAAGGGCAGTCCAGGAGCATTCAGGGAGCTCCTGAGCCAAAATCAGAGCAATAAGCAATGAGGGCTCCCAGGCAAGGGTGAGTATTTCACAGGAGAGAAAGGGGTCAGCCAGCTCATCCTAATGAAAGGAAAGCTCTAGGAAACCTGCAGCAAATCTAAAATGTTCCAGGGATAAAATTTTCCAGGAGGTAGGAAAGTATCTTGGTTAAAAGCCATTGTTGGTAGAAGGATAAAAGGAAATAAACCAGCCACAGATAAATTCGGGCTGGAAATTTGAACAAGTTAATTACATTTCACGTAATATTTCTGGTTTATGATTCCAGATGGAGAGAGAAGCTCATGGTTCAGCTTAGTGTCGAGCTGCTGCTGTGGCAGGAGTACTACAGGCTGCAAGTCCAGGAGGATGGCAATGGATGCTCAGCAAACCCTCCTCTGTGCTTTTCTCTCTGGTCCCACTATTAAAAAAAAAAACCAGGAAAAACCTTTCCAGGGAGTTCTTCCTAATGGCCAAATAAAAAAATCCTTTCTGAAGGGAGAAGGTTTTCATTTTACACACATTGTCAGTGGAGCCTTCTTAGCCAGCTCATTTCCCAGGTCTTTAACCAGCCAGCCTGCCTGGAACGGAGAGATTTCCTCTCGTCTCAAATCACTTGGCTGCACATGGGAGAGAAGCCCTTTGACGAGGTGAATTTGCAAGGCTCTCAAATCCTCTTTATCCTCGCTGTGCTACCCTTCCTTGACTCATCTCCAAGAGACCATGTTGGGCTAAGCCCAGAAGGAGCACGGAAAGGTGGCAGCACCAATCCTAGACACACACACAAGCACACACAGATACAGCTTCCACCCCTTGCCTGCACCCTATGTTAAATATCATCTATACCCTGGACTGGGAGGGATCAGGTAAATAATCCAGTCCAGTCCTCCATCACCACAGATTCAGTCAGAGCAGCCCACTGTCCTCACCCACCCCAGCCCAGAAACCTGCTCCTCCCGTGTCCCTGATAAACTAGAGACCCACAATCCACACCTGGCCTGTTCAGGTACCCAGGGGTAGTTAATGGACACGTGAATAAAAAAAAAGAGGCTGAATTTGACTATTCCTGAGTTAGTCAAAGCAATAGTAGTGGGACTAAGCAGTGGGACTAGTGTTGAGACAACCAGGACTTCAAGGAAAAGTGGCATTCAAGAGGCAGTACGAACTCTCAGGGATGCTTTTTTCCTTGCAGCTACTTGCATTTCTAGGAAATCAAGCAGGAGAGCAAGGAGCACGAGGCAAAATGAATACAGACAGGATTGGGGCACACACAGTCTAGGGAAAAGAGAGAAGGCGGTTGTTAGACTGAAAAAGCAGGCAGGCCAAGTGCTTTCTGAGTGCAATTATTTTAATGGGTCTGTCTTTTCCAAATTCCACGTTGCACACACAGAAATAGCAATTTCAAAAAAAAAGACTCACACCAGAAACGCTGACTTGGAGAACAAGAAACTCTCCCTTGTCTCCCGGTACACAAGGAGGCACGAGATTCACAACAACATCAGTAACAGCCAGTCACAGAGGTGGAGAACAGACAGACAGACGTGGAAATTCCAAAGGACAAGAAGGTGGCAAAGGCAGGAAGGCAGCAGATGTTCTGGGGCCCACCTGGCTCTGCAGGCAGGCAGCTGGGGTCACAGCCTGGGGGACAGACCCACTGCACCAGGGGATCAGCATCTCACTCGTCCTACACCTCTGCTTGCCCAGGTTCCATCTCTGCTGGTTGTTATCTCTTGGATCCCAAGGATTTCAGCTCCCAGAGCAACACTGGCTTCGTGGTGCCAAAGCACAGGTATGGGCAGCACAGGATGTGCCAGGTCCTAGGGCTGTGTCAGGGCTCCCTACATGGCACTGGTTGTGATGCCACAGTGCCAGTGAACCACACTAAACTCCTAACTGGCCCCCTCAAAATTCTGCTCCTGTCCTCTTTCCTGCCCAAAGGGCCTTTGACTTGTATGGGATCAGCCATGGTATTGTCCATCACTGGAAGCATTTCATGGTGCAGCTGTGATAAGGAGTGGTTCCCGTATGCATTCCAGACTTGGCTTTCACGCCTTCAGTGAATAAAAAAAGGAGCTGTACGGTTACCACTTGATTTTACCAACTTTTTTGGCTCCAAGTGCTCAAAGAAAAGTGCTGCAGTAACCACATTCATGTGGGAAAAGCCTCTAAAGGACTTCCAAACTGTTGTTTGCTGTTCCAAAAGGCAAGCTGGGAATCAAACCTACATCAACAAGCTGTTGCTACAGCACTCACGGGCAGACAAAAATCACGGGAGCCTTTTGCTCAGCACAGCAGTCCCTGCGTGCCGATGGCAGGCAGTGCTGGAGGCAGAGCTCACCATGAGAACAAGCTCTGAAGGAAATCATGCAGAGATCAGACCACACAGGCTCATCCACCTTCAAGCAATCTCCAGACTCAGGTGTGCTAATACCAACCTTGCTGCTCATCTCTAAAGCAGCTTTAAGTGGAGCTGGGAGCAGGTGTTTTCCCTTTGGCACAGGCAGGGAGCTGAGCGGCAGCACAACTAAACGAGTTGCCCAAGACCTGGAGGCTGCACCAAACACTTGAACCCACATCTCCCCAGGCCCACACAAATATCCTTCTCCCCAGCCTGCCTTTTCTCCTTCTAGCCAGTATAGACCAGCCCTGCTAAAATCACAGACGCAATTACTTGGTGTGGAAGGAGCTGTTGAAGGCAGCAAACTGTTGCAGCACTCAAGGAGGACCCACATTAAGACTGAGCGTTCAGTCCCCTTTCATGAAGGAATTTTTCAATCCAACCTCATCCTACCCAAGTTCATGAAGGGGTCATCAGCTGCACAGTGGCTGCCCAGAGCAACCAGGACACCACATGCATGGACTGCACAGCACTGAGGCTCTTCTCTGCAGCTCCCCCACGGCCACACGTGCCCTCGCTTAACCAGCACACCAGTCATGTGGCTCTCACAGCCTGGTCATGCAGAGCTCTGCTTGTGGCCCAACACAAATCCTTTGCAGCACTAATTCATCAGATTGGGGTCTTTCCAGGGCAGAGGGGGTGTCTTTGCTTAGAACAGCTCTTAGTAAGTTCCCATCTGCAAGCTCATCCCATTGCTTTCCAAGCCCATGAGCACACTGAGCATCCCGTTTCCTGCAGCAAGGAGATCCACTCCTTGTAATGGATCCCAGAGTCACTTCAGGGAATGAGATCCACTCACCATCTTCCAGCACAGCTATACTGAAGTCCACACAGCTATCTACTTGCTGCCCCAAGGTGATATGTGTCCCAGGCCAGCCTTCCACAAGAATATGGGAAGGAAGTTGTCTAGCGCTCAGTACATAATCATTGCCCAAAAATTTCATTTGCAGGTTCCTGTTAGTCTCTGGTTACTCCAGGATTCAGCCTGCCTGACCTTCCAAGATAAATACTTTGTGGAGTAGCACAGCTGGAGCTCAAACTCATTAACAAAAGAGGAAAACACCAAGGCTAATTGTGATCCTTGTGATTCCTTCTCTTAGAATGGGTGGTAAAATCACCCAGACGAAGGCAAGATGTTGCAGGGATTTTCAACAGAGGGGAGATTGTTTCACAATGCTTTTTCAATAGCAAACACATAGCTTTGTCCCTACTGTCAAAAAGTCTGGCACTAAAAATGCTCAAATCTTCTTGTGACTGAGCAGCAGCAAGCTGTAATTTACTGCATTCCTGCTTCTTTTATGTCCAAGAATTGCTTCACTTCTGAGAAGAAAAATCTGTCATTTGTCAGTCCCATGTAGCCTCTTCTTCCAACCATCACATTTCCACGTTAAACTAGACAAATCAATTCGTTCCCCTCTTCCTATCTGCTCCCCAAAAAAAGGCAGTGTATTTCCAGGAACTCAGAGTCATCTTTTCATGGCAACATCATTATCAATTTTATTTTAAAAACATATAATGGGCGTGTTTCAGCAAAAATCTGTATTTTTTTTCAGCTGTTGCATCCTCCTCCCTTAAATTGGTCCAGAGAGACCTGACTGTCTACTGGCTTTTCACAAGCACCTTCCCCACACCTCTGACTGATGGTACACCAGGGTTTTCCAGCCCACCCACGGCAGCGTTTGGCTGGCTGCTGACAAAGGCTCTGCCTGGGTTTAGGATGCAGCCAGGTCCCTGGGCAAGTTGAGCTGTATGGCCTCTCCTCCTGTGGTGTATTTGGCCACTGGCCCGTTGCCTTCCATGGTGAAGAGTTTGCAAGTCTTGGCGTTCTCATGAACCGGTGTGGACTTTTTGGAGGAGATGGGGGAATTTGTGGGGCTCAGCTGAACAGCAGTGGTATCCTGCACCGTGTGCTCACTAGTTTCAATTTCAAAGGCTGTGTTGCCAGGTTTGATGAGCCCAGTGTTGGAACCTGGTTTGGATTTCCTGGCCCCATGAGCGGGGGGCCTCCGGCTGCAGATGCAGCAGGCACCGAAGAACGTGAAGGCCACCACCAACAGGATGGGTCCAATGATGATGGGAGGGTTGTTCACAGGGAGGAAGGTCCCAAAGGCAAATGCTCCCACTAAAGTGATGTTGATCCCTGCCAGCATGATGCAAAGTCCGCAAGCGCAGCAGAGAGCAGGGGAGGGGAGGCCCTGAGGCCGGGTCTTTTTCTGAATGGGTTTTTGGGACAAAGAGGCGCTGCTCTTTTCGCTGAACATGTTGAGATGGGTCTCAGAGGTCACTTCAATCCTCAGGGGGTGTATGCTGTGATGAGAAGGCTAGCTCCGGTCTCCTCCTGCCTGGAAATCCCTGGAGAGGAACAAAGAAGATGCAGCTGTCAGAGCAGTGAACCAAAGGCACCTTTCCCCCAGCAACTTCTCCAGGTTTTGCTCGTGCCAGCAACTAAGCACAAATCCAAGCCTGCTCTCAAGTCTGGGCTCTCCCTGACCATGGTGGCCACATGCAGTCACCCTCAGCCTGGAGCACTGAGCCCAGTGTGCTCAATGTGCTTGGCTATCCATATGGATGATGCCATCCACAGGTACTGAATAACACACTGTCAGTCATAGAAGTCTATAATAAAAGGATTCAAATGTGTGTGTTTTGTCAGCTGGACCATGCTTTCTACCATGAATCACATCATCTTCAGTGTGATCACAGGAGATCCCACAGAAGGGGACCAGGAAGCTTGTTTGCCTCAGCAACCGTAAACCTGAGCTTGAATAAGGTTTGTGCACGAGCAACACCAGCTCCTGGATGGAGGCTCATGGAAACTGAGATGATGAAGCTGAAAAAGAGCCTGTGGGTGGATCGGTCTAGGACCCAAGGCAGGAACACACAGCCCTGACTGACAGTAGCAGCTTCTCCATGGAGAAGGATATTGGATTTGATAAGAGCTGGCTTTGTGTTTGCTGTACTTCACTGGAAAGTCAAATTGCCAGAAGCCAAATTGTCTGCAGTTTGCTGGTGATGCCTTTGATTTTACAGGCAGGAGAGCATTTCTCTTCCCAGCCGGATGGCAAACAGCAGTGGTCTGCTCTCTCCTGCTCCCCTGTCTAGCTCCCTAGCTTCTTCCCCCTTCTGCTGTCAAATCCCTTTCAAAAGTGTTGTCAGCAGAAAGCTGATACCACGCAGTTTCTACTGCAAGAGCCAAGAATCACTGTTGTGCTATTAACAGTCTACACCCACTAAATTAAAAAAAAATAAAACCAACAAACCAAACAATAAACCATCACCCATCACCCTGAAACGTGCCAGTGAGATCAGCCAGGCATTTTCAACATGTTTCCTAGGTTATAAAATTGTCCAGCACCTCTAGCTGAGGCAAAGCTCTCTGCTGCTTTATTGGGTGTCATATCTGATTTCCTTGGCTTGGGCTGTTGTTTAGAGCTGAATGAGTGCAGCAGTGAACTTCAAGCGAAGTTCATATTCAGTGAGACATCGGCTGGAGCTGAGAGGGACAGGTGCATGAAAAGATTAAATCCTTCCTCATCTAGGGATACATGACTGGGAAGGGATCTCTCAGCAGGCAAAGATTTTTCAGGAAACTCAGAGTGCACAAGGGAGAAGGGGTAATTTCTCCATTAGCCAGGTTAACACATATGCGTGTTTCCCTAGCAGTGTCCTTTTGTTCTGCCTGGGAACCCTGGCATGCTGATGTGAGCTGGAGCCCTGATTCTGCCTCCTTCAGCAACCCTGGACCAGCAGCAAGATAGCTTCTGGTTAAAGACACACGTACAGACACTGTTTGCAGACCAGCTCTTGCGAATGCCACTCTGAACCTTTCACACACAGAGGCTGCAGACACCCCAGTGTGGCCATTCCTCCTGCATTCTCCCTCTGCAAAGTGCTCACCAGGGAACTGTGTGGCTTCTCGTGGTTAAATCGCATCACAGATTCGCTCCACCAGGTTTCCTCCTCTTGACTTCTCACCTGCTTCCACTCTGAAAGATTTCCCCCTCCTGAGAGAGCCAGGCAGCTATCAGGGTTGCTGGGCTCCAGTGGGATGCACTACTAAGCTGGCTGCCTGGACTCCTAGGCAAGGCATCACCAGAGGTCAGGCTCCCACTGAGACAGATTTTCAAGAGGAGTTTCAACCTGTTGCCCCTCGGATCTCTCAGTAGTCACCTGTGATCACTCTAAAGAGACCATGCTGGTTTCTGGCTGCTTTCAAGGCTACAGTGGTATCACCCAGCATGGTCCTTGGTAGCTTATTTTCTCTACCTGGCAATTTTTGGTCAACATTACAGAATCCTGAATGTAGGGGATTAAGCTTGGGCAAAATCCTCACTGGACGTGGCCAGGCAGTAACAGGGGAGGAGGAGGAGAAGAGGCTCATTTGAACACCATTGACAGTGATAAATCATGGCAGTCCATCCAAGGACAGCTCACCCCAACAGGTAAAAGGGAACCACAGATCCACTCCAGAAGGATAAATGACATGAGAGGATGACCCAGCTGAGCTCAGGATGGGTTCAGGCACCATCAGCTTTCCGGGCATTCATGGTTGTTCATAGAAGGAGAGGGGACCAGATCTACAGTACAGAAATAGGGATGTGGAATGGAAAGGACTGAGATCTCTCACACTGCAGATTGACTGGAGGAGGCATTGGCTACTCCTTGGGCCCCCATAAGACAGGCAGACAGCTGGCAGGTTGTGCCAAGTGACTGCTCAGGAAACAGCTGCTATCTGCCTCCTGGTAAGTGACAAGGGAAGAAAGGAGTCAGGGCTGAGATCTCATTTAAACTGTGTGAGCAATTCTGGGGCTTATCACACCCTTTCTATAGCTGCATCATAAGTGTTCTGGCCATGCTATGTCCAAGACAAAACTTCTTTCGTATCCTCCCTCGCTTGGAGCAGCTATGTGGGGTAACAGACCTTTCCCAGCAGAAAGCAATGGACTCACTGGAGATCCTAAGTGGAACCTTTTCCATGAGCCTGGGGACAGAAGATCTTGGAAGACAGGCTTGAGGTGCATGGAGTTGGGACATGACCTGCACACACACCCCAGGGCAACCAACAGCACATAGAAGAGAGACTGGAAACATTCAGAAAGTAGATCACTGTTTGCTTTTTCCTTCATCTCCATGGGAAACATCAGGGATTATACACAAGGGATTCCAGTTGGAAAACCAGATGACATGGGGATGAGAAAGCCAGCGGAGCAGTGGAAGATAAAGCAAAAAACAAACCAAAGCCACAGAATGCCTTGTGCTGTTCTCTACCTAATAAATGCCTGCAACAACACAAAGTCCATGTTTATTCTGATTGTCATGTAGAGCAAAAGCATCTTTGCTCTCCTGTCATTTCCTAAAGCACAGGTTAATGCTGTGGGTTATAGGGTCAGAGTCCTTCTCCATGCCCATCTCAGACACCAGAATATACTGATGTAGGTCAACTGCCACTGCTGACATACCTGAGGGTCTCTGGCAGCTTTTACCTTTCACTTCAGCAAAATCAATGGCTTGAAAAAACGACCAACTTTCCAGCCAAATTATAATGAGCGACTTCTGTTCCATCAGGATTGGAAAAAGTTCTATTTGGGCTCTTTGTTTGTAACAGGTTCTTTTCTTATGGGTTCTTTTCTTATGGGTTGGAGTGTAGGTTTCTTCTCCAAACAACATTTCAGCTTGAAATGCACTACTGCAAGCACTGCTATGTAAGAATAAAAGCTGCATATCCAAGCTAGCATGATGGAAATCCAGAGGCTATAGTGATTCCTTCCAGGGGAATACCCATCCCTTCCTATATTCTCAGGGGGGCAAAGAGAGACTTTCATCCATATCTCTGAGACTTCCTAGAGCTCAAAGGGCATGCTGACATATTCATCCAGCATTTTAGGAGCCTCTAAAGCCATGCCAGCAGCGCCAGCAGCGTGTACAGCTAAGCATGCTTTCCTCTTAGTTGTCGTGAGGGGGATCGAGCTGTCATCCTTCCACACCATCTCATTGCAACAGCACAACCAAAATATTTGTCAGACTCCAGATGAGTCTCCTTTCTAGAGGTGTGATGGCACAGCAAAATAATGACAAATGTGATCAGCAAACAGAAATTGCAGTCAGACAGCTACAACCACCCCCTGCACACAGGCACGCTCACAAACACACAGGCACGCACTCTTTAGCTACCAGGAGAAGCATAAGACTTTTTTTTTTCCTAGTCAAAGTGCTGAAAAACTCTCCGTCAGGGCCAGAGAGAGCCTCGGTGTCTGGAAGGGGAAAACACTCACCTGGGCTGGAACGTGGAGCCAGGGAAAGCGATGGAGAGAACGGGTGCCCCGGGTCTCCCCTTCACCCTTCGGTCCGGGATGACAAAGCCATGGCTAGTCCCAGCAATGCCAGGAGTGGAAGCCCAGCTGTGCGCTGGGAGGAGAAGGATCTCACATCCCTCCTCCCCTCTCGTCACCGAGGTCCGGAAACTTTGCTGGGGTGTCAGGCGGGCAGTCCTCGGAAGAGCTCAGCAGGCTCTGTGCGAGCTCGGCCGCCTTCTCCCCACTTTCGTCCTTCCCCTCGGAGGATGATGCTGTTCTCCTCAGGTAGAGGGGGTTTAGGCGCAGCATCCCTGCCCCGCCGCATCCTCTCCCGCCTCCTCCTCCTCCTCGAACGAACCCGCGGTCCCCAGCGAGGCTCAGCCCACCGCGCCCCGCTATCCGGCACCGCTCACCCTCTCCCCGCTCCTTTCCCTTCTTCCTTTTCTTACTTCAAGGCTGCAGCTCCCGCCCCCTTCAGCTCACAGAGGTGCCCGGAGCAGAACAGCTCCCTTTTTTTTTTTTTTTCCCCCTAGGGAGAGGAAAAACCCAGGATCGCCTCTACACCGAGGGTCAGCCCCAGCGCGGCCGCCGCAGGGGAAAAGGGGAGACACCGCCAAATGCCAAGGAATAGGATGTAGGCTCTCGATGCTGCAGCGAGGCACGGATCTCTCAAACACAAGAGGTCTGAAACGCACGTTACGATTAAAAAAAAAAAAAAATTACAGCTGGTGTGCGGTGCCTTTGGATGCTGGAGGGATGACGGAGGGATGCGGGAGGGAGTCTTTGCTGGGCAGCCGGCAGTGAGGGGTGCTGAGCCAGGACCTCTAGAGGTGGAACGTCCAGGGTGTGGGGGCTGGCAAATTAAGAGAAAAACCTCCCCAGATGCAAAACTGATGTTTCAAGTGGCAATCAGATCTCAGGTACACTTAAAGGCACTTAAACTAAAACCACACCTAATGCTAGACCTCTGTTGCAAACACAGCCAAAACCTTAACTCCCATATTAAGAAGCCAACCTCTGTCTGTTTGTGGAGTTGGTAACCACAGGAAACACAGCAAACTGCAACTTATGCACTGGATGGAGTGTAGATAATCCACCCACAGATGAAGAGGTGCTGACACTCACATGTCCTCATCTGCTCTCCGTGCCCACACCTGCTGAAACCAGCCTGGATGCTGCCAGCAACAGCTGAACAGAGACTCCTCTCCAATTTATTGCAGAAGAACCCTTTGGAAACCAGGCTGGAGCTGATTGAACATCTTGAATTACTGCTTTCATCATTGAGAGAGAAGTAGAGAGGTAACAAAGATGGTGAAAAACAAAGGTCAAAGAGATAAATCACTGAAAAGGAATGAACACTTACTTCTCTCTATTCTCTAGGCACCACTCCAGCCTGAGTATTCTTAATACAGCAGCATCCTCTACTGCACCATATTGCATTTCACTTTGCAGGTCATCCTAGAAATTCAGGCAAAAACAAGCTTTGCAGAAAGGGGTTCCATCTCTGCCAAGGAAGACAACTCTGTTTTGTCCTTAGCTTGAGTAAAGCCAACAGCACATTGCACTGTTTGAGCAAGGGGGCAGGAGGGTGTCAGAAAAGCAGTGCTGATCAGATGTGTTGACTGCCTGGGCCTATAGAAAGAAATAACTGCAAAATCTCATTTCAGATCTCTCCAGAGACACAGTGTCTCCTCTAGGGATTCCCTGGACTCCTAACATGAAGCTCAGAATGGAAGATATTCTGGAGAAATCTCCCTCTGGCACATCTGAGAGAGACAATTCCACATGTGGCAGAACTGGTGTTTAGTGTTTGCTGACTGTTGCTGGGTAGAAATCGGAATGACTGAACTCTTTCTTGGTGTAACTCCACAGAGCTCAACAGAAGCAGTTGAATAAGCCCTGTTTATGTAGGAACAGTGGATGTCAGAGGGAAAGAGACTATCAGGGTCTTTGATTCGAGCCCATGCTATCAAGTTGTGTAATAGCATTCATAAAGCACTCAAGCTCCAAAGGAGGCCAATTAATACTGAATGACCTGTGAGTTGTTCCCTAATTGCTCAAAGCAGTGATGAAGAAGGCTGCTCCTGCTTCTGTTTTGCTGTTGCATGTCTCTCCATCACACTTTCTGCTTAATGGACCATAAACCCAATAAAAATGCTTTCTTGAAACACTGCATATTTCGAGCTCCACTGAAACAATAATTCTGTGTTTCGCATATGTGGCCCTGACAACCTGGCAGACTGCGTTCATGTGATTAAAACAACTGCTAATTCAAGAACTAAAATTAAAGGCTAGATTTCCCACTGGTATAAATCAGAGCAGATTCATTTCCTTGCAGAGCTTTGATAGCTCATGAGCATTCATGATTTGCCAAGGGGGTTTTGCCAGACTGATGGCTTCTAGTTTTAAACTTGCCAGGAATTGGGAAGCCCTGCCTTCTTTAGAGGAAAGATCCCAGCTCTCAGCTGACTAGAAATTATATTCCTCTGGGAGAAGCTGTTTGTTCCCTGCTTCTGCTGAATTCAGAAATTAGCTGAAGTCAGAAATTTTTGAATGTGAGGAACATTGCCTGTGTGCCTTTTCCCACTGTCAGTTCCTGACTCTGGTTTCAGTACTAAGAAATCTGTCTCGAGCACTCTTGCACCCACAAAAGCTGGGCTTCAGTGCCACCATCTCCTTACCTGGAGCAGGTCAGGATGATGTCTACCACATATGAAGCCCTCATAAAACACACTGGTTATGTGAGGTTTCTCTCTGCAAGAATAACTGAAAATGGTGGGAAGGGTGAGAATGATCCATGGAGGTTTCAAAGGATTTTGTTTGGGACTCACACTCGAGTGAAAGCACATGAGCAGCATCCACACTAATGAGAACAGCAGCATGCCAACAGCCCAATTCCTCAGCATGACAGGACCAAAATGCAGCAGCCCATGCTGCTGCCAGCTGAACCATGCCCATCACACAGGAGTGTGTGGGAGACAGAGAATGGCTGGAAGTTTATGGCCCTTAATAAGATCATTAGACAAAGGTCACTGCAGAAACGTCCCCCTGCAGATTTCCATGAGATCTCCAGAACTGGCACTTCTCTGTGAGTTTACAGTTTAATTGCCTCTTAAGGGAAGGTAATGCCAGACTGAATCTGTTGTTGCTCCAAACCAGCTCTGAATGCCACCATGTCTGTCTGAAAGTTTGTGCTGTGGCAGAATCCTCCCTTTCTCATGGTTCTGTGGTGCCTCTGGCACTTCAGAAGGGAGAAAGGTCAATTTCTGCAGCAATGCTTAATGTCTACAACATCAAGTACATAATGAAGGAGGCAAAAAAAAGATTAGTATTTGTCATTCTTAGAGGCAGCTGTGAAATTACTATGCAGGGGATTTAAACCCACGAAGGAGACATTTCCTTGCACAATGTGTAATTAAAATCACAGGACTCTACTGTGGAGAACACCAGTATTAATGTTCTCAGACTCAGAACACAGATACAACTGGACCTGTTAAACACAGCAGACCAGCTGCAGCTTCTGGCTCGCCATGTTCTCTTTGGGAATGACCTAAGGAGGAAAGCTTGCTCTAGGTTTGCCACTGTCCTTCTAATCTGTCCTTCTCAATCTGTTATTGAGAGCTGTTGAGGCAAAATAATAGGTAAGGTAGATTATTTTACCTAGTCCAGTATGACTGTTCCTACATCAGGGTGAAACTTTTGGGTTTTTTCTGAATATAGTCCCAGAGTGGCTTTTCTTATCAGAGAGACCTGGCAGGCACACTTCATGCCTAGTCTCCCTCAGTACAACTGCAATATCCAATGTACTCAGTGCATCTCAGCAGGGATGATTCCTGCTTTTACTCTTCTCTTCCCAGGAGCTCTCTCACCACAGTCAGCACTGTCTTCATGACCAGAAGCATCTGGGCCAGCTGTCCCCAATTCCACCAGCAGATATTCCCATGCCCATGGCTTCTCATACTGTCCATCAGCCCCCTTAGAGCAGGGCTCAATTAACTCCTAATTAACCATTTCAGCTGAAGATTGTAGGCAGAATACCTGTATTTGCTCACCAGGCTGGATCTCCTCAGGCTGCTGCAGCTCCTCACCATGTGCCTGTAGAGCACTCATTTTCCACTTTGCACAAACAAACAAACAAACAAACAAAACAGCCTTCCAGAATCTCAAACAAGTTTCTCCTTCCTGTGACACCTTCTCAAAACACTGGAAAGTTAGCAGACAGGAAACATCTGTGCAAGGGGCTGTCCTATTACACAAACAGTTCAGTAATTTTTTATGAAGCTTTCTCAAACAGGAGGAAATCAGCGGGTCAGTTATCAGCAAGGGGCAAATATTTTTAATTATCTGGCAGGGAGGATTATGTCTTCTCTGTTTAATTCTCAGTGTCTCACTGACAACCTAATTAGCAAGCAGCATCACTGGAAAAGCAGACTTGAAGTTATGTGGCTTTATTCTCCCAGGAGTCAAGCACCCAGTTCATTTTCCTCTCTGATCCCTCCCCATATCGTGGATCTCTCTGCTGACCAAATCTCACCAAGGTGTAGTTGATCTGGAAGAGACAAAACCACACAGTGTGCCCATCAGCAGCTCTCCCTCATGATTTCAAATGCCATTCATCAGAGACTTCAGTGTTCCATCTTCCTCTCTGAAAGAAGTGCTGGTAGAGATTTTAGTTGAAGGACTGTTGGCTCCTCATTAACTGAAATCAGAGTTTGCTTTGTATATTGTAGTTTGTACGCGGTATGTTACATATTACACACTCTAATAGTTTTGTCTTTCCTTTCTTTTCCAGGAAGAATACACCAATGCATGGGATCTGCACTGGAGCTGCCAAGGCAATGGAAGCAGCACCACAAGATGAATTATAGCTTTCCAAATTCAAACTGCCCCCAGACATGGAGACCAAACCCCCTTTGGAACAGATTTGATGTCCCTTTGTGAGATAACAAAAAGAGACTTAATTTATGCCTCTTATATCCACCTGATGGTCAACCTGTAGCACACCAGACCACAAGAGGTACTAATTACCAGCAGCACAAATCACATTGCTCTTGCCAGTTTGGATTCCTGGAAAATCTAACTTTGAGGGATGTCAGACTCAACATCATGAACAGATGGTGTTTCTGTCTGAAGAGAAGACATGTCCTTGATCAGTCTGTCACTGCTTAGGGAGCTGATGCTTTTGTTTCACATCCAACAATCTTCACCCAAGGACTGAGGCTTTACAAGGCAACACAAAGTCTACAGGGATGATAAGACCAGGAAATACAGGCAGAAAAGTAATTTCAAGGTGATATAGTTCATGTCCCTTCAAA